GCACACGGATCACCATGGCTGCCCTGGCTCTGCCCATCCCTGGCTCTGCCTGGCCCTGCTTCAGGTCATGAAATGGTTAGCAGTCACTTTCCTCTGCTCCCTTCCAGAGTCACTTCTCCCTCCTTCCTCTCATTCTCTGCCTCTGATTCAGCCAGATCACATTACAGCCCTGCTCCATCAGCCTTAGTCAGGGGTGACTAACCCCATCCCCCCAGCACAGGCACAGCACCATGTCCCAGGGCTGGGAGGGTGAGTCTTGCTATCACTCCCCCCCTCCCCCGGAGCAATAGACATCACACATATGTGGTTCAGATGGCTCCTCATGCAGGCCTGGAGAGGGAGGGGAGCAAAACCTGCTTGGCCCCCATCTCTCCTTAAGACTTCCAAGGCAAGATATGAAAAAAAGCTGAAGTCATTTGGAAGTGAAGGCAGCTGGGAATCTTCCTGAGAACAAAGCAGAGACTCAGTCTGGGCCTCCTCTTGAGAAGGCCCCCGGTCATCCTTGTCCAAACCCTCCCCCCTGCCTCCCTGGATACTCATACCCACAGCATCATCACCAGCTCTCACCCTCAGGCAGGCTCAGCTGCTGCAGATCAAATTCTTCCATTAACTACCATCACACACCCATTAACTACCATCATGCTTTGTACCTCTCTGGAGCTTGAACAAGCAGCAGCTTGTAGAAGGCCAAACCCAGCAAAGCCAAAGTGACACAAACAGGAACAAGACAGCACCTGGTACACACTCACCTACCCTGTAACATCCTCCACTACTGAGAGTACCTGCTCTCAGATTAAGTTAGGGGCAGCCTCAGGGTCACTGGGAAGCCAGAGTTACTTCTCCCTCCCGAAAAGTCACACTGGTAAGGACACCCCCATTTTATGTCCAGGCAGGTTCATCCCACTATCAGCCAGACCTGGCCAAAGGTGCATTTGCCATCCTCACAGGAACAAATTCCTGCCCCCTCTCCAAAACAGCTCCAGCTAATACAAAGCCCAGCAGCCCAATTACCAAGCAAAACAGAAAACTGTGAAATTACCTCCCATTTCATAAGATCATAGGAAAGCAGAATTATAATGAATCTCATGAGGTCATTTAATCCAGCTCCCTGCTCTAGGCAGGATCAACCCCCTCCTTTCTGCACTGTCCCAGATTTCAAGGTGTCAAAGTCCTTCCTAGTCCTGGCTAACCAACAGACACCTCTCCAGTGATCTTCACATACAAACAATGACTGATGAGGATTGAAGAGGAAGGTGGGCTGAAGACAAGGGTACCCCTTAAGCTAAAGCTGGTCACTGTGCTTGTGCAAAGATTCAAGAATACACATATTAATGTCTGAAGAGCTGCATGTGGCTCTGGAGCTGCAGGCTGGCCACCCCTGCACTAGACCATGCTCCACTATAAAAGCAGATGACATGACTAATCTGGCTTCCAGACAGGGTTCAGCCACCAACCTACTTCATATTTTAAAACTGCTTTGTTCTTTATATTGGGTAGAACTTAAAAACTCAGTCATGGACCAGAAACCCAGAGACAGGTGACAGACAAAGCAGGGAGATGGTTCCTGCTCCAAAGAAGATACACAGATGTTTCCAGAGTCTGCTGCAGGATGCACCAATCTGTTGGAGTCTAAAAGTATCAGAGATTACTGCTTTGGAAGGGGGCCTGTTGGGCAATTCAGGATCAATCCCTTTGCACCAAAGCCTGCAGAGGGGCTGGCAATGGCAAGACTGCAATGGCCTGTGCTAGGACAGGGGGCTGCATAGTGGCCTTCAGGCCTTTTGCCTCCGAATATGTAGTTTTAAATTTGCCTTTGCTCCAAAATTAAATGGGATTTGGTCTACATCACAGATGCATCAAATAAATTCCACGCTGCTCTAAAAAGGCCCTAGGGCTGGAATAGCAGGGGAAGGGGCCTGTGGACTGAGATGGAAAGGCACTGGTAGACCAGAGGACCAGTGCACTAGTACAGATGTATGTGTAAGTTTGCCCAGCCCCCACTCTGCTTTTTTTGCCAACCAGATCAGCAATATACTTTTGTGAGAACGATCATCTCCCCCAGCTCATCTCACCCTCCCTACTGGAGCCACATGCATATGCACACACACTCACAAGCTAAGAGAGTCACCAGTTTACAGGAAACCAACTCACACACACCAATGTCCCACCCCTAGGCACTAACGGGGAAGAGGCAGAGGTTCATGCATGTCCTGGATTTGTGAGATCATCTCAGTTTCTCTCTGCCTCACCCCTAGGCATTTCCTAATCTAGGACCATCTGCTTAAGCCATTAACTGTGCCAAGGGACAACACAGATAGATTGGGGGCGATCTAGTAAAGGCACCAAGAGGAAATACAGCCGGTAACACGAGCCCATCTCCACTCTTGCCCGAAGGTGGTCCTCCCCCAAGCAACCTCTGTGAGGACATCATAGACAGGCTGTCCCTGGACGCTGCTGATCACTAACACGAGCCCCTGGGGCTCTCCTAGCTAGGGAGGAAACGGCCCTAACCCTGTACCTTGCCGGCAGCTGCAGCCATACATCCCACAGGAACCAGCGACCAGCAGGTACCCAGGGCTTGCACAGCTTCTGGTGGTGTCCCGGGGCCGGGTCCCCCTGCAAACCCGCGATCCCCCGTGGAGGGAATCACATCGCGGGCACAGAAGAGGCAGCTGGGACCATTCTGGGGCAAGCAGCCGCTCGGCCTGCAGCTCTCCCCGCCGCCGGCCCCGAAGCCGCGGCCTCACCTCCCCCCACCCCGCCCGTCTGCTCGCCGCTTGCCCCGGGCTGCGGAGCCGGGCAGGCACAGACACCGCTGGGCGCTGCGTGCCCGGGCCGGGCCGGGCCGGGCCTC